CAAGAGGCAGAGGCTGCAGTGAGCTGATATCACGCGACTGCACTCCAGCCTGGGCCACAGAGCGAGACTCTGTCTCAAAGGAGAAAAAAAAAGGTTGTGGAGGTAGGAATCACGCATGAGAAGGAATTAGAAGGAATTTACCTGCTGACATTCCACAGCACGTTTGCTGGGCACAGAATGAGGGGTCCTGAGTCCTTCTGCACTCACTTTGTGGGATCATCAGGAAAGGCGGGGGGTTGGATTTGAGCTGAACTTTGAGGGCTGGGTAGAATGTAGAAGGGACCAGGAGCTTTTCTAGAGAGTGGGTAGATGGGAGGTGCAGCAGTGGGCCAGGCAGGGCGCAGTAAGAAGGCAGGCCTGGCGGGAGTAGAAGCCTGTGCTGGGAGCCCGGCAGGAAGGCTGCAGAGGTCGGCCTGTCCCTGTTTTGCTTGCCCCAGGTGTCAGATAAGGAGGGTGGGCTTGATTCGTGGAACAGATTCTTCCTGCCAGTGGCCCAGGGTTGACCCCAGACCCGGTGCTCTCCAGGCTGATACACTGGTGAGGACAGGTTCCATGGGTTTCCCTCCAGCCATTGTCTGCCTGACGCCTGTTTTCCTGGAGATGAAGAATATTCTACCCTTAAGTGCAGGGGTGGAGACAGTAGAAACTTGGAGTTCCTGGGGCCACAGGGCCTGAATGGGCTGTCATTTTTGTAGTGGCCTGGGGTGCTCTGAATTGAGTCCTAGTGGGACTCTGGTGGGGGAGGCCTTCCGGCTGGTGCCAAGCAGGGACACATTTGCTCTTTGTGAAGATGAGGGGTGGGGAGGGAATGCTGAGCACAGAAATCCACCTTTCCCGTCTCCTCCCTCAGGAGGCCCTGTTACTCTTGCAGGCTGTCACTCCGACATCAGAGCCACTTTCCTCATACACTTCAAAGCTTCCTACATGCCATTCAAACCCATACCACCCACTGGTGCAGACTGCCCTTCCTCAAGTTCACACCACTCGTGAGCTCATGGCCTTCTGTAGCTCCTCACATCCACCGGGGCTAAATGCCAGTCCCTTTGCCAAGTGTCCAGGGTCCCTCGCTGCATGACTGGGAGCAACTTTTCCAACCCTGTCACCTGTGGCTTTTGTTTCTGCCAAATCAAATGTCTGCTTCTCTTTCTTCTGAGCCTTTGTTCAGCCTCATCCTCACCAGCTCCAGAACGAACACCTACTCATCCTTCAAAACCCATCTACAATGCTGAGCCTTATAGAGCCCTAGTACATCCCTGCCTGGCAGACACCGATCGCTGTCTTTCCAGCCTGCCCCGGCTCACCTCATACTCTTCTGACCAAGTGTTTTTTCTGTTTGCACAGTATTCCTTAAGCCCTCTTCCCACCCTGGCAGAGAGCTCCTTGGGGGCAGGGAATAGCTCTCATCCACTGGCTGCCACACAGGAGTCCCCTCTCCAGTTGCTCAGGGAATGTTTGTGACCTGAAACAGGGAGACAGGAGAGGAGGTAGCTTCAGGGTGGCCTGCGCTGCCGTGCAGGTTGGCTTTCCTTTGGACCCTTTGCTGAAGCCTCGAGGATGTCCCCACTCCCACTCCTAGTGGCGCTGTAACTTGTACCAAGCGGAAACATGTCCTGGCTTCCTGGGCAGGCTGTCTGGGCAGGCGTGGGGAGGCACAGCGGCTCTAGCAGGCCTTGGTGCATCCCACATCCTGGACTCTTCAAGAACAAGGAGACCAGGTTCTAGATCTTTGCACAATTTAGGAAAATAAGTGTTTTCATCAAAGGCATTTGAAATCCAACTAGAAACAAGTCATTCTCAGTTCTCAGAGTGGATTTATAAATTCTTTAGGCAGTGTGAAAGCCCAAATTCAGTCTCTTAGGATTAATAAAAGCTCTGCTGCTGCATTGGCCAGGAAACGAACCCGGGCCTCCCGCGTGGGAGGCGAGAATTCTACCACTGAACCACCAATACCCAGATGTTAGCAACTGTATGTGCACCTCCCTTTAACCCCATTCCTGTGCCTCCTTGCGTGTAAGTTGATTCATAGAATATGAAGCCAGTCTCTGATGCTGCCACATCAGCACAGTTGCAGGAATGGAGCGCTCAGGCTGCAGAAAAGGAGGGAGAAGGCAGGAAGCAGGAGGGTGTACGTGTGCGTGTCCAGTTGATTTGCCTTCAGACCTTGCAACAGAAACTAAAGCTTGAGTCTTTTTTGGTAGCAAAAGTATATTAAAACTTTGGGGGACTTTTTCCCCTCTGATGTTTGAGTCCTCCCACCACATTCTGCCTTTAGTCTTGTGTTAAACTGTGTTACTGTTCTCAGGTTTCATGCCAGCTTCCTGTGGAAGACTGGCCAAGGCTGAGGACAGCACAACAGGAGTCCCCTTAAGGTGCAGGCGTCAAGTTCATGGCTCCACAGCCATAGAGAGTACTTCTCTGGAGAACCCAGCAGCTCGCATGTGCACATGTAGCAGGGAAGTGTGGTTCCAGATTTGTGGGCGCCCTTGGCTGCTGCAGGTCTCGTGTAGTTGGAGAGACTGACTGGCTCCTCTAGCAGGATGTCTCTGTGAGGAAAACTGGCCAGGAAAAGGCAGAAAAAGCAACACTGCATTGCATTGGCCGGGAATCGAACCCGGGCCTCCCGCGTGGCAGGCGAGAATTCTACCACTGAACCACCAATGCTCCAGCTGTTTGTTAGAGCATCTGCAGGGCATTTGGCAAGGGGCTGTCTCTGTCAATACTTAGGCACTCTGACAGATGATTGGGTCTCACCTGGCTGGTTTGTCCAGTTTGGGAGACCAGACAAGTTGATGTAGAACCATCCTTGCCCCACCTTAGTACACTGCTTTGAGAGTTGGGGCCTATGAACTGGAGTTCACCTTCTGTCCAGAGGCCGTGGGTTCATCCACAGTCCCATCCCCATAAAGATCAAAGCAAGGGGCAACTCACAGGCCACTTGTACAGCTCCCTCCTGAAGCACCCATCTCCTCTCCAACGTCCACCAGCCCAGAGCGAGACCTATTTTGTCACCTCTTGCGTGAACAGTGCCTGGTGCATGATGGGTGCTCCATGTGATTGGCTGTATTAAATCTTTACGAAACCACTGCCCGGTCCCTCTTTGAACAGCCTTTTTGCAGGAGTGCTCACTGTCTCACAGGACAGCACATTTGGTTTTAATTACTAGAAAGTCCTAGTTCTGATTAGTAGAAAGTGCCTGAGCTGGAACCACACAGACTAATGGACACCTTTTGGACATGATTATTCTTAAAATTCTTCAAGTCAACTTGAGACCCCATTTGTGGAACAGGTGAGCAAGATAACTGCCATGATTGGATGCAAAGCAAGGAGGGAGAGTGCCTGCAGTTACTTTTTCAAGTCTGAAGTCTCTAGACTGCCGTTTTTCCACCTTCAGTGGCTCCACCAGTGTCATCCTTCATGCCTCCTGTCCTCATCTCGCAAGCATCTCCAGGCTCCTTAAGACAGCCTTTCATATGCCCAGCTCCCTGGTACATGAAATCTGTTCTAACTGGGGATTCCCAGGTTACCACCAGCAGCCCATCCCGCTGCTGTTCTGTTCTCTGGGGCCCCGGACAAGGGTGCGTACTCCCGCATCCTCACCTCTGCTAACAGGACTCCTTTTGCCAGGAAGGCCCGTTTCTTTCCCTTCTGCCTCCTTCAAGATCCAGCTCCATCCCACTTCCAGGCAAACTTCCCTCACCACCCCAGCTGCCTCTTCTACATCAGTGATCTGGGGCATCCTGCCACCACATGCCATGTGAGACCTGTCGCCCCAGAGATGCTGTGAGCTTTGGGAGGGCAGAGGCCTGGCCTTCGTATCCATGGGGCTCTGAAAACAGACTAGTCTATCGTGGGGTCAGGCCTCCCTCAGCTCCAGCACTCGGAGCAGAGCCTGCCTGGGGAGTCATCCTCCCTGGGTGACCAGCAGCCGCTCCCTCCCACAAAGGCAGCCTCCCTCCGACCTGCTCCTCTCCCCGCCAGCGTCACTGCCCAGGGAGACACCTTGGGGACACCATCTACCCTACCCTCCTCTCCCCTCTTGTATCAGCTATTAATGCTTTTCCATTTAATTCTAGAAACATTCCCCGCTGCTCTTTCCGACTGCCTCAGTCACATTTCAGGACCTCCTTACCCCATAGCTACAGTGCTCTCCTGAACGTCCCCAGCATCAGTCTCCCGTCAAACCCATGCCTGCCCCAGCCCTGCTTCTCCAAGCTACCACCGGCGATGTCCAGTTGGAACATGGGGCTGAGTGTGTCATCCCTTGCTGGAAAACTTCCACCAGCTCATCGTTTCCGTACCTGTCTCTGGCCATTCCTTCCACATGCTGGAACCCTCGTCCCGTCCCAGATATGCCATGTCAGCTTGCGTGGCCTTGGCCTGGTTCTTCCCTATGCCCGAGGTGCCCTGCCTTCCTTTCTTTACCTGGAAAGTGCCTGTTACTGTTTTTAAGATCTGACTCAACTGGCACCTCCCTGTAGCCCTCCCGGGCGGCCCGAGGAGACGGAGCTCATTGCATTTTCTTGCTTCTGTGATATCACTGGCGCCACTTTGCTACAACTATTTGTTTGCACGTGGATCTTACCCATTACGCTGGGGCCTGTGTCCCAGCAACGTCCCTAGAAATAGTAGCTCAGACGCAGAGGGTTTCTGAGATGCACGGATGGAAAGCTGAGTAAGTGTTGAATAAAGACAGTTGATCAACTGATGATGCATTGTACTTTTTTGGTCCCAATGACACATTCATTTGCATTCTCTGAGATTCCCAGAAGTGAGCTAGCACCCCTGTTCCTTATTCCATTGTACACAAAGGGAAACTGAGACCCAGAATAGGGAAACAACCATGGCTCAGCCAGCAACAGAACTGAGACCTGCGCTGAGACGCCCATCTCCCAATTCCTCTTTCCAAACAGGTCATCTCCCTTCCTCATTGCAGCCCCAGGCCCTGGAGGCCACAGCAGAGGTAGCCTGATTTCCACAGCCCCTCTCTCCTCTCTCTCCAGGCTGGTCCGGGAGTTCGTGGCCCAGAACAATACCGTGCAAATCAAGCATGTGATCCAGACCCTGTCCCAGGAGTTTGCCCTGTCTCAGCACCCCCACAGCCGGAAAGGGGGCCTCATCGGCCTGGCCGCCTGCTCCATCGCACTGGGCAAGGTGGGCCTTTCACTCAAGGAACAGACATACCAGTCCCGGCCTTGACGCTAACCAAGCCATCCAGACGCCCTCCCTCTCAAGACCCAGCAGGGCATTGCAGACCTGTGTTTTATTACCACTCTGTCCACACCTGAGACCAGCAAGTCTGGCTTTGCGGCCTGGCAGCCTGGTCCCCTAGGCGTGGGCCCTCTCCTGGGTAGCAGACTTGGGAAGGGTCTTTGAGTCCAGCTCTGGCACAAAGGCCTGAGCACCTCCAAGGGAGGTGGGATGTCAGCTGGCACTGCAGGCTGCAGGGCCTGGGCTCCGACCCATTCTGATCTGTCTTCTATTCCTCCTGCCCCCTCGCAGGACTCAGGACTCTACCTGAAGGAGCTGATCGAGCCAGTGCTGACCTGCTTCAATGATGCAGACAGCAGACTGCGCTACTATGCCTGCGAGGCCCTCTACAACATCGTCAAGGTGGCCCGGGGCGCTGTGCTGCCTCACTTCAACGTTCTCTTTGACGGGCTGAGCAAGGTAACCGCCCTCCTCCTCCTCCTCGCTGGGCTGCGCTTGGTTCACCCACTTCACTTGACCTTCTGGAACACTGGACCCCTTTTCCCAGATGCAGGCAGAGGAAACAAGCATGTGGCTGCAAGGGACACTTATTGTCTATTGAATCTAATCATTTTTAATGGATTTGCATTTATACCTTTTTTCATTTCTCTTTTAATTCATTTTGATGGCATTTGATGTAAGTATCGGTCTGTCACACAGTAGAGGGGAGAAACTGATAGTCTGTGAAACACTCGCCTCCCTGGTAGAAGGAGATGATGCTGAAGCCGTCACCCAGACCATGCTTCCCCTGTAGGGAGGGCCACGCTTAGTCTAGCTCATAAGTGCCCCAGAAAAAGCTCATGCTCTCCTCCATGCCTCTCGCAGCATAGTGGAGTTCTCCTCCCAGGCGCGGAGCAGCCCTGCAATGCTGCTGCCCCTGCAGAATGCCATGGAAGTTTCTAGAGTATCAGCCTCGCAGCTACCCTGTCCCCTCCTCCAGGAGTGGAACGAGGACCCAGTGCTTGAAGATTGGAAACCCCTGGGGAAGGCTGACGGGAAGCGGCCCCGTGACCCAGTCACGACAGGGAACAGGAACCCCAGCGGGTCATAGGAGAAGTCCCTGAACAGAAGGGTATTTCCTGAATCTGCTCATCGGCCGACCCCACTGTCCCCACTCCCACTTTCCCAGCCCTTCTCAAATGTGTTCGCTGAGAGGGGGGCCTGCTGGATGTTCCGGGCTGCACCAAGGCCCCGGCTGCGGGTTTGCAGAAAATCCCTGGTGTTGCATCCGACCGTGACCCTCGCCTCTGTGTCCCTCCCCTCTCTGTGCCTCTTGCAGCTGGCGGCCGACCCAGACCCCAATGTGAAAAGCGGATCTGAGCTCCTAGACCGCCTTTTAAAGGTATTTGTACTTCGTCCCCACGTTTATTTCTATAATCTATTTCTCCCATCTGTCTGTACAGCTTAGAAATTCTGTCATTGGGAATGTTCTTCTTGAATTTAAAATATATTTTAAATTTACATGTACTCCCTGGTGTGCAGTTCTATGACAAGAATATAGAGCTCGATCTCCACTATCAAATACAGAACTGTGCCATCACCTGAAATGTCCCCTTTTGTTGCCGCCACCTAAAGCAAAGAAGCTTGCCTGTCACTTTCCACACCACCCTGGCTCTGACAGCAGGGGCCTGGGCATTCCATCCAGACCACAGAGAGTAGGGTCTTGCCATTCAATTGGTTCTCTCTACTTTGATTCCTGCTTTCAATCTACCCATTTTGCGTGTCCCGTGGACTGGGACAGGATGAATACTCCAGAGACCTCTTAGGCCTAGCTCGGAATCTGCCGTTTTCCTCGGTGGCCGCCTGAGCGCTGGAGCCAGCCCTGGGCCAGTGATTCAGCGAAGTCAGGCAGCCCTGGTCTCAGGCTCTCGGCAGCTCACCTTCCTCCTATCCACAGGACATTGTGACTGAGAGCAACAAGTTTGACCTGGTGAGCTTCATCCCCTTGTTGCGAGAGAGGATTTACTCCAACAACCAGTATGCCCGGCAGTTCATCATCTCCTGGGTAAGGCCTGACCGGACACCGTTTCTCCAGCCTCCAGTTTGGAAAATCTGCTCCCTAGCACACTCTTGTCAGGTCCTTTGGCTATAGGAACCCTCCATGCTCTCCCTCGAATAGCCATTAACACCTGATAATTCAAAAACGCCTCATTCAGCTTTGCCCCCGAAACCCACCATGTTGGCCCTAAAGGGATCCAGTTCTTGTTGGCCCTGAAGGGGGTTCAGTTCTTTCCTTGTGCCAGAAAACACCCGGGTTTCTCTTTAAAGCCAGCAGTGCTACTTTCAGCAATCTCACTTTTTCTAGCCTTGTCTGTCCTTTCCCATCCATCCCCTTCTCCCCTGGGCATCCGAATTTCCTTAGAGTCAAATTACCATTCCCCTGCACATTTAACAAAAAATGCTGGCTGTCCCTGCCAGCACCCTCCTCCCCCATGGGACACCTGCACTGCAGGGCAGTGCGGTCTCAGCAGGGTCCCCTTCCCATGGCCCAGTCCCAGAGGCTTTGGTGAGCGGGAGACAGGGTTCTGGAGCTAGTGTGACTTCCCTTCCTGTTGCCTTCCCCTGGTCAGATCCTGGTTCTGGAGTCGGTGCCAGACATTAACCTGCTGGATTACCTGCCGGAGATCCTGGATGGACTCTTCCAGATCCTGGGCGACAATGGCAAAGAGATTCGCAAAATGTGAGTGGAGTGAGGGGCAGGAAGCTGCTACCTGCTGCCACCCCTGGCTGTGCCCGTGTACTTCATGCCCACAGACAGACAGCAGCAGGAGGGCAGGAAGTTAGCTCTTTTTCCTGGCTCTTGTGCTTCCCACTTTGAGGAGCCAAGAGCCCATCAACCCCCAGCATCTGAAAATGATCATGTGACAGGTCCAGAAGCCAAGCCGCCGTCTAGGTGGCTGACCCAGCACAGAAATGGGGCTGGTTGAGGCTTCTCCAGCCCTGGCTGACTCTCGCTGTTTCCACTTTCCTGTTCTTGTTTATAGGTGTGAGGTTGTTCTTGGAGAATTCTTAAAAGAAATTAAGAAGAACCCCTCCAGTGTGAAGTTTGCTGAGATGGCCAACATCCTGGTGATCCACTGCCAGACCACGGGTGAGTGTGGGGGGAGGGCCCACAGCCACGGCTGCCACTGCCACTGCCACTGCCACCTCCGCAGAAGCACCTTTCACCATCTCAGCTTCAGTGAGGGGGTAGGAGAGATTCCTAGAAAGAGTGTTAGCCAGTGTGACACCAGGCCCTGGGAGAGGTAGAGCGCCAGGTCTCTCAGAGGGAGGTCTGGGTTCTGTCACCACAGAGGCACAGAGGTCCTTTCACCTGGTGTGTGTGGCCTCTGTGAAGTAAGATCTGGAGGTTTCCTTGCTGGCGAACTTGGCCTTAGCCCTGTGACTTGAAATGCTTGGAGCTTGGGATTATGTATCTGTTCACTTCTGCTGAGTATCGAACCACCACAAAACGTCATTCCCTAAAACAACAGTCACTTACCATGAGTCTGTGGGTCACCTGAGTGGTTCCACTCACTTGGGCCAGGCTTGGCTGGCCTCAGTCAAGTACCTGCTTTAACTGTAGGGTTGCTGGAGTGAATGGGCCACAGTGGCTTCGCTCATGTCTGGCAGTTGTCTGGCTCATGGTATGCTGGGACCATGGGGACAGCACGTGTCTCATCGTCCAGCAGGCTAGCCTGGGCATGCTCATATGGTATCAGTGGGACTCCAAGACAGTAGAAGTGAGCAAGGCCTGTTGAGGCCTAGGCTTGAACCAGCCACATCATCACTTCCACCACATCCCATTGGCCAAAGAAGCAAGGCCAACCCAGATTCAAGGGCTGGAGAAGTTAATTCCACTTCTTGATGAGAGGAGGAGCAGAGTCCCAGTGCAGCGGGTCAGGGATGCAGCTGCCCTTACAGTCTAGCACAGGATTGTAGCTCTGTCCCAGCCTGTGTCTCCACCTTCGGAAGGCAAAGCACATAGGTAGTAGAGTATTGGTGAGGCTGGAAGCCGTCAAGCGCTCGGGTTCCACAGGCCGCCAGCCCCATCCCATGTGTGTGGTCAGTGGGAGGGAGCACTCGGGTTGCGCGTGCTGGCCCCTCTGAACCCCCTGATTCCTCTTCCAGATGACCTCATCCAGCTGACAGCCATGTGCTGGATGCGGGAGTTCATCCAGCTGGCGGGCCGCGTCATGCTGCCCTACTCCTCTGGGATCCTGACTGCTGTCTTGCCCTGCCTGGCCTACGATGACCGCAAGAAAAGTATCCGTTGCTCTGGGAGAGAAGAATTGAGAGAAGCCCCAAAGGGATTATGAAGTTGAGGGACCCTGCACTGGGGGCTGGGGGCTCTCTTAGGATCCATCACACTTCCATAGTCCTTAGCAGCTTGGGAAAAAGAGGTGGAGCCAAGCATGGATTGAGAAAGCCGGGGACCTGGGGTTGAACCTTGCCTGGTTACTTGCAGATCTGGAGCAGCTTTCCCGGGCCCCAAAGTTCCAACCCTCTGAGCTCACACTGCCCGACCTTGGGCTGGGGAAATCCCATTGGTGGGAGGGTTTAGGAAGGGGTCCTAAGAGAAGAAATAGGCACATTTCACAGGGGCACCAGTATGGCAAGGAGAGCAGGGACTCAGTTCGGACAGCCTGTCTGCCTAACGTAGCCCTGAGACGACTGAGCTCCAGACTAGGAATACCAGGTTCAGAGAAGCCGCCTCTGGCTGGGACCACTCTATATTAACCCATTTTGTGTTGCTATAAAGGAATACGTGAGGCTGGGTAATTTATAAAGAAAAGGGGTTCCTTCAGCTCCTGGTTCTGCAGACTGTACAGGAGGCATGGTGCCAGCATCTGCTTGGCTTCTGGTGAGGCCTCAGGAAGCTTTTAGTCATGGCAGAGGCGGAGGGGAAGCCAGCAGGTCACATGGCAAGAGAGGGAGCCAGAGGGGTGGGAGGCTCTTTGAAAGAACCAGCCCCCACACGACTAATAATAGAGGAAGAACTCACCCAACTCACTCAGTACCATGGGGAGGGCACCAAGCCATTCGTGAGAGATCCACCCCCATGACCCAAACCACTCCCACCAGGCCCCACTTCCAACACTGGGAATCGCATTTCAGCAAGAGATTTGGAGGGATAGGCATCCAAACCAGATGACGCTCCTTACATCAGTGGACTCAGGCATCAAAGAGGTGGCCAACGTGTGCAACCAGAGCCTGATGAAGCTGGTCACCCCCGAGGACGACGAGCCGGATGAGCTGAGACCCGGGCAGAGGCAGGCAGAGCCCGCCCCTGACGATGCCCTGCCAAAGCAGGAGGGCACAGCCAGTGGTGAGTAGACTCCACCCCTACCCCTCACCTCCTGTTGGGGGCCCAGGAAGCCAGAAGTCATGGGACTTGCCTTGGAGCCTCACTTAAGCAACCAGGACATATATAATACGTCACTCACATAATTGTAGCAGCAACCCAGCACAGTGGCAGCGGTGGTTCTCCCCATTCTGCAGACAGGACATGGGGAAGCTGAGCAGCATGGCCACACACACGCAGCTAGTCAAGGCTGGAACCGGATTGGAACCCAGGCAGGCTGTCTCCAGCAGCCATGATCTTAACCCTTACTGCCTCAAAGACCATGAAGCCTTTACTTCATCTTTTTCCTGGATTCAGCTATAGGAAATAGTTTTCAGGGCAGGAAGGTTTGAAGCATGGGAGGAGTACCAGGATTCAGCACTTGATTCTTGGCCGTAGACATCCAGCCACCCAGAAGCCTGGCTGCCTTTACCATGCGGGTCATTCTCAGGGTGGGAGGGTTAAGAAAACTCTAGCTTCGATTGATTCTGTACTTGAAAATTCTATTGCCCAAATAAGTGCCTTTAAAAAGTGAAATTGCTCTGCCCTCCTTTCAGACTCCTCTAACATAATTTTCTTGTTTACCTGTAAGGTAAAGAAAACCACATTATAAGAAACCGCGTTTATGACTAGGCTGGGTAATCCCAGTACTTTGGGAGTCTGAGGCAATCTGCATGAACTCAGGAGTTTGAGACCAGCCTGGGCAACATGGCAAAACCCCATCTCTAAAAAAAAAATATTAAAAAATTAGTCGGGTGTGGTGGTGCGTGCCTATAGTTCCAGCTCCTCAGGAGGCTGAAGTGGGAGGATCACTTGAGCCCAGGAGCCCAGGAGCCCAGGAGGCAGAGGTTGCAGTGAGCTATGATCACACCGCTGTATTCCAACCCAGGCAACAGAGAAACACCCTGTCTCAAAACAAAACAAAAACACATTTATGCCGACTGGCATCTGGAATTTGACTCCAAATGTTATCTGGAACCCTGATGCTTTCATATTTCTTGGGTCTCTGTCCTCACCAAGAGGTCACTGATCAGCTTTGGGGTGATGTCCTCCTTTGCCAAAGCTGCCAGAGAATAAACTGAGGTATAACCTACTCAGATCTTTAAGGATAACAGAGTAAGGTTTGGAACCTGCCCACAGGAGCCAAAAGAATTGCTGAGAATTCTCCCATTGCCATTCATGTACTTTTCTTTTGTACAGCTGAGCAGAATGTCAGGCTTGCATGCCCCACCTCCTCCCGTGGGTTTGGCTGGTAAAATCCAGCAGCCGTCCATGCTGGACCCATCTCAGGTGTCAGGTTACAGCTGTGCCAGCACAACTGTGAGCCAGAGCAACAAAACAGCTGGAGGCAGAACAGCAGTCAGCTGGAGCATTGGTGGTTCAGTGGTAGAATTCTCGCCTGCCACGCGGGAGGCCCGGGTTCGATTCCCGGCCAATGCAGCAGCTGCAAGCTTTTTCACACAGCTTCGTATGTCTATATCCTAGTTGACACTGGAAGATGTGGACTTTTTTTGGTTATGTGAAACATCCTTATTGAATTGAATATCTGAATTTAAAAAAAAAAAAGAAAAGGGCAGTCCCTATTCCTATTAAATTAGAACCCAACAGCCCCCTGCCACCTTCTGCTTATGTGGCAAGAAGTCGAGCCCCAGAACTGGAAGGGACCACTTCCATCCTGTGCGTCCGTGGGCCATTCACT